GCCCACCGTGGGGGGGCGGGCTTGGCCAATCTATCTGTGGTTGAGTTTGACGTGGGCTGGTTCGCGTTGGCATTGGGCTGCCAGCAGATGAAAGTCAAAGCGAGCTGGCATCCGTGTGCCCCGAGCCCCCCGGGACAGCTTGGGCCCTGGCTTAGAGAGCCTGTGAATCGGGGTGTATTGTTTACTCGCGAATCACGCCTGAGGTCGGTATGGGCCCAGTCTGTGTGGGACCCCCTTAGAGATAGCCGGGCCATTCCTGGCTCTGTTCAGTGCCTGGGGTTTTTAGCACAGACTCCTAGTCTGCTGGAGGGGGGGCAGTGTTTGATATGGGGGAGCGTGTGCGGTGTGTGCGTGTATCTGGCTTGTGGACAAAATTAGTGTTCATTCTGTCGTTTAGGTAAAGTCCAGCTGTGTGTGTGGGGTGGGGCAGGGGGAGATCACACTCTAGTTGGAAAAGGAATTCTATATTTTGGGTGCAGCCAAAACGGAGGTTCCAGGGCCAGCTGGGCCCTGCGGCCGGAGGTGCCGAGAGGGAAGGGGTTGTGCTATTCCAGGACGTAATAGCCAAAGCTCTTTGCAGACAACGGACTGAGGGTCCACCCGTCTGCGCTGGGGGACGAGCACGCGGAGGACACGTCTGTGAGGGCCGATGCCCTGGGAAACGTTAGCCAAGCTGGGGAGACCTGGCAAGTGGCACCCGAGAGGGCTCGTCCTTCTGCTGCCCTTGGCTCGTGTTCGGTGCATGTTAGAGCCTGGGGCAGCAAGGCGGTGACCCCGCACAACTGTTTGTGATGGCTAACCGAGGGGGCGCAGATGGGACTTCTGGGTCTCCCTCACCACTTTGCCTTATCGTTCAACTGAGCTCCAGAGTGCATTGTGCTTGTAACGCCCTGGTCCTGCGCAGGGTATCCGGGGCGCTGCCAGAATAAACCAGGAAGCGGGGCCGGGCGTCGGCTTGCGGGGGCCCAGGGCAGAAAGCTGAAGTCAGAGCACAAGCGGTTTCGCTTCACGGGTGGTGTCAGGCCCTGGGCTCTGCCCCGTGTGCTGGCCCTGCCTCTCACCGATGGCATAGGCAGAAAGCCAGCAGCTCTGGCACAGCTGGGCCATGGCATGTGGATTGTGTGTTGGGGGGACCGGAAAGAGAGTGGAGCAGAGGGCTGCGGCCTGTGACTAGCAGGAGTCCGGAGATGCCTGGGTATTCTCCCCTGAGCGCTTAGGCAGCTCTCGGCTTTCCCCTGGCTTGGGGGCTCCTGACACGCCAGCCTCTGCGCCTTGTCAGCTGCCTCTGCTCTGTCCCTGGAGGCTGGCCTAGCAGGACTTCCCTGGCTTCCTCCTGTCCCTGAAGAGCCAGCAGCCCTTCTCCCCACTTGCTCCAGGTCTTGGCACCTGCTCTGCGGGCCCCCGGCTCTGATCTCCCCTCTCCAGCCAGAGCCTTGCCTTAGTCCAGCCTGGTGCCTTCAGTGCTCCCCTCTCTGTCAGCTGCCTCTGCTCTGTCCCTGGAGGCTGGCCTAGCAGGACTTCCCTGGCTTCCTCCTGTCCCTGAAGAGCCAGCAGCCCTTCTCCCCACTTGCTCCAGGTCTTGGCACCTGCTCTGCGGGCCCCCGGCTCTGATCTCCCCTCTCCAGCCAGAGCCTTGCCTTAGTCCAGCCTGGTGCCTTCAGTGCTCCCCTCTCGGGGGGACGCCCGACCTCTGGTTTTAAAGCGTCCTCGTTCCCTGCACGGGTGGACGTGCTCAAGCAGAGAGTTTTCAGGCCAGTTTAAAAATTCCTCTTGGAGCGGCGCAGCTTGATCCATCAGCCCCTCGCTTCCCGCGGGCGGGCGGCACCCTAGCGGGAGGGGGCTGGGAATGAGCCGCCTGGGGGCGCGGGGGCGGCCGGCAGGTGAGCGGACAGCAGGAGCAGCCGAGGTTTCTCACTTGCACGCGCTGGAACTATTGCCCCCTGCCACAGAACCTGCGCCCGGCTCCTGTGAGCGGTGCCAGCTTCTGCCTGACGGGTGTAATTTTAGACCTAGCAAACAAACAAGTCTGTGCTGCCCAGCTCCCAGCCAGCACGGCACACTGTGTGCTCGCTCGCTGGCCGGCCCCCTCGTCGCTACCCCCCAACCCTCATGTGGAAAACAACCGGCCCCTGCCGGGGCTTGGGAAGAGAATTTCCTGAAGGTGTCACAAGTGGGGGAGCAGCTGCGGGGGAAGGGGAGAATAGCTTCGTGGGTTTCTTTTTTCCTCCTTTTCCCAGGCTGTTTCCTTTTCTGGGCATGCAGGGGCTGGGCTGGGCTACCGGGGCGCTCGCACGGGAGGTGCAATCCTGGTAATCGGAGAACGGGGGCAGATTTGAGCTCCCTCTGCAGCCCACGCACGTGTCATGCGGGGAAGCGAACCTGACAGCCTGCTCTGGGTGCCACGGCGCCCCCGCGGCTCGGCGCAGGCCGCTGGCTTGATTGTGGTCAGGTCGCGCCCACGAGCGTGGCTACCGGCACAAGTGGCCCTGTGAGACTAGATCCGTGAGCCACCGAGGCCTCCCCATGTCCCAGAGCAGGCGGATTGTTGTTTGGTTGGGTTTTGCCCTCCGCTTCCGGAAAAACCATGTGGAGTTGCCAGAAAGATGAACAATAAAACGTCTTTAACCCTCTCGCTGCCTCGAACCCTGAATGGAGTGGGAGCTGCCCAGGGGCCCTCCGGGGAGCGGGCCTGGGAGGGTGACGCTGCTACCGCCAGCCCAGGAACCAGCCACCTCACCCAAGGGCCGGGGGCAGGAATCACGGGGATGGAGGCAGAAGGAGCTGGGAGACGGGGTGAGCTGGGAGCTGTGGTCAGGTCGCTAGTGCCCATGCTCGGACCTGCTGTGGTTGGGAGCAGCAGTGGGTTCCTTTCCAGGATACCTGATCAGAACCAGCCCCTCTCTGGACCCTCCCCCCCACCACCCGCGTGGATTTGGCTTGTGCTCTTTGGCTAAAGCTCGGTCTGTCGCACCAGCCTTCCCAGGGCCTCCTCCCCTCCCCTGGATGGGTGGGGGCAGTTGCGATGCTCTTGAGGGGAGGCTGAAAACCAGAGGGCCCCCCCAGGAGGTGGTCTTGGGCCAGGGATTGCAGTAGGGCACAGCCGGCGTTCAGCCTGTGCTGCGGGGGGCAACCTCTCTAGCTCCGCCGAGCTGCTTCCTCGACCGCCGCGTGTGCGCTCTGTTCCCAGTCCCTCCCCAGGCCCCCGACGGGAATGCAGTCGCGAGTCCAGCAGGGACGCAGCCGGCCCTGGCTCCTGGCTCCCACGGCAGCTGAAGCTGTGGAAGGGAAAAATCCATCTCACCTCAGATCAGTTAATCCCCAGAACAGAGCTCTCTGTCCTGGCCCCAGCGCTTACGTCCCGTGACGACCAGGACCTGGATAGCAACATCCCGCTGGCCAGCCTCGCACGTGAGCCTAAAATCCCACCCAGCTCATGGAGCAGCTGGAGACGGGGTTGGATTTATAGCCCGGAGGCTCTTTTGATGCCTCAAATGCCTTTCCCACACCCTCGGCAGCTCTGTAGAAGGGGGGGCAGGCCGGCTGCAGTGGGGCCTGATGGCTCAGGGCAGGGGTGAAACTCTTAACACAGCCTGGGAGACTGACTTCCCTAGGGGCGGAGGAGCCAGCCCACGCAGATTTTCCGTGTCCGCAGGTGGGGCAGCGTGGGGGCCCCTGAACCGTGCTGCGCCACCTCCCACCTCACCTGCGCAGCCCATGGACGTGAGAGACTCCGGCTAAGGATGGGGCCTTCACAACGGTTGTGGGGTTTTATGCTCTTAACTCACTTCTGCGCTGTTAAAATCCCATCCTGGGGATGTTTTGGAGAGAGAGTTAACCGGAGGGCGGGTAAACATGGGGTTTCTTCCCCCCCCCCATCTTCAGGAAAGACTTCTCTGCGCCCCCCCCCAAACATTTCTTTAAGGGGCTGGTTCTAATTTAACACTCCTGTGTTTACTTAAGTCAGCTGAACTATTAACCACTTTGCGACGACTTTAAATATAGACTCGCAGCTGCTTTGTAGGCTGTTTGTTTAACATTTACGCGTCCCCAACTCCGAGTCAATCCAGACAGCCCCGTTCGCCTTGAGTTCAGAGCGTTTATTTCCAATAGCTGCTCGTGCAGGAAAACAAAGGCGCGGGGGTTCGCTCCCAGGTAACAGCAGGGGAATATACACCATAAATATCGAGAGAAAGTGCCAGGGAAATCGTGAAAACCTCTCTTGGTTATTAGGGGCTCTGACATGTTTTGAAACATGCTGTGAAAACCAAGCTGGGGGGCCTACGCTACGTGGGGTTCCCCCTGAAGTCTCTCTGCTCGTGCAGGAAAACAAAGGCGCGGGGGTTCGCTCCCAGGTAACAGCAGGGGAATATACACCATAAATATCGAGAGAAAGTGCCAGGGAAATCGTGAAAACCTCTCTTGGTTATTAGGGGCTCTGACATGTTTTGAAACATGCTGTGAAAACCAAGCTGGGGGGCCTACGCTACGTGGGGTTCCCCCTGAAGTCTCTAACAGACGGGACTGGTCCCAAAACTCAGTTGCCTGCTGAAATTCTACCTTGGCTCTTGCATTCTTCTTCTAAAGTGAAATACCAGATTGGCATGTATATTCTGCCTCCCTCCCACTCTCCTTTGGGTTTCAGAGGGCGTGGGGGGGGCAGCTTTTCGTGATCTGTTCTAAACCCGTGAAGAATGTTCCTGTCGGCTGGTTAGCACCGGCTGTGTCCTGCCCCAGAACGGGCCGCCTGCCACGTAAGACGACGCAGAGAGAGACGCAAGCGCACGGAGGGCAGGGGTCAGGAATTGGGAAGTGGCCGAATTCTAATCCCGGCTCTTGCTCGCTAACTAGCCCCTACTTCAGTTCCGTGACTCGGTTTCCCTGCTTATCAAACAAGGCTGGTAATGCAGATCTGCTTCCCGGGGTGGCAGGCGGATTCAGCGGACCATGCTTTGTAAGCGCTTCCAACCCCCGGCAGCGCCGTATGAGCACCCCCAGGATTTCACTGGCCGTGTAAAGCACTAGGAGAACTCTGGGCCTACAGGAAGCCAACCCTGCCAGGTATCCCAAGAGCGCACAGACCCTGCCATTAATAGAAGCCTAGAATGTACGCAGGGAGAGCTCCGAACCAGCTAATCCACCGGCCTCCAGTTTTTGTTTTCTCTTTGCTGCTAAATCGGCCACCACCCGCGAAGGAGGCCAGCTCTGGAGCTGGAGGCGGGGGCTTTACTGAGGACCAGGCAGCCTGTGGAGGGTAGCTGCCTTGGAGGGGTGGCTCTGTTGCATTTCTAGCTACCAAGCTTTGCTTTGGGTCACATGCATCTCTGCGGCGAGTGTGGCTGAGCCACGGGCCATGGGCCACGGGTTTAAGGCCACGGGCGTCAGGCCACGGGCTGCTTCTGCGCGTGGGCAAAGAAGACCCCGCTCACGTCGTCCACGCCGATCTTCAGGCTGGGCGGCATGACGTAGGCACGGAATGTGGCTCCTGGTAGCCGCTCTCCCCCAAGTCGGCCTTCACGTCGGCCTCGCTCACCGGCACCACCGCGAGCTTGGCCTCGCCGGCCAGGTAGAAGGACTCCTCCAACGCGCCGATGAAGAGGAAGTGCCCCCCGGGCCTCAGCAAGGTGGTGATGTGCAGCAGGGCTCTCTCGAAGCTCGGCCGGTCGGGGCTCACCGCCTCCAGGCAGAAGGTGGAGACCAGGGCGTCGGCCGGCTGGCTCAGCGGGG